AGAACATTTAATGAAGTTACTTACAGCCCAGAAGCTAGGAAAAAGCTATCATGTTTTGAATGCAGGAGAGTTACTACTACCAGCACAGCTGTGGGTTACAATGAGCTGGATATAAACATACAAGAAATCTTACAGTCACTTGGCTCATACAGGAGGAAACATCCTAGCCTTTCCTATTTTGCCAAAAACAAATGAATTCATCTAAACCAGGGTTTCTCAACCTTGGCACTACTGACATTTTGGGGCAGATCATTCTTTGTTGTGGGCCTGTCCTGTGCACTGTGGAATGTTAAGCAGCATCCCTGGCTCTGCCAACTAGACGCCAGTAGCACTTTCCCCTCTCCTCTGAGATGTGACAACCAAAAATGTCTCTAGACCCTGCCACATATCCCCCAGTTGAGAACCACTGTTCTAAACTGCATAACTGCCCCAGGAAAAATTGCTACCGTGTTTGTATCAGCTGGGTCCCCTTTGAGTGGTGCCATCTGCTACCCTTTCAGCCAGGCTTAGAATCACTGTTACTGGCTGACTTGCTGACAGCCAGCTACAGTTAGCAGAGGAGGACTTCCCACTGATGCTTGTTTTGTGCCTCTGCACCTGGAAGCAGTTGCCCAAGAAAGGGAAGGCAGTGTATTCCAAGCAGCTTCTGGCTCACTTTTGAACCCGAGAGTCCCAACGAAAGGTTATAAAGAGATGTGTGAAGGCAAGGACAGATGGAAGCCAGCAGCTCCAGAAGAAAGACCTCAAAAAAGACCATTCCCATTCTCTTGTCCTATGGGCATAATTTAATCATTATCATACTCCTTAACAGCATCTGCTATTAAAATCAATTAGATACATCTGTTTCTCACTAGGGGCATAATAAGTTCCTTAGTGGTTGACTATATTCTTGGTTCAGGTCATAACTGGATGTCTCTCTCATTTAGATTTAAAGACGTGTGGCCAACAATCTCCAATATGGAGATCTGTGGAATTCTGCACGTAAGGGACATTCCCGGTGTTCCTCCAAAGGGAAGACAAGGCATCCTCAGAAATGGCTCAACAGCATTATACTTGGAGGGAAAACATGTCTGATTTCCTTCATGGTACTGCATCCCACGAATTCTGTCTCAAGAACTCTCTAGATGTCTCTGATGCTTGTCTTGGAATAAATACCTTCATTCCCTAGGTCCTGGACTTGTATGTGCTATTCCTGCTCTGTCACTGATAAGTGATAGTAAACAAAGAAGGAAGCGACAAAGGCCTAAAGGAAGCAGCACAGCAGAGGAGTTATGAGCAAGGACAATGCAGCTGGTGGCCTCAGTCTGATTCTTGACTTTGTCAACGGCTGTGTGACCTTGGTAAGTCACATAACTTCTCTGTGCCTCATGTTTCTCATTTGTAAAATGAGGATAATGGAGTATACACCCTATAGGCTTGTGAAGAGAATTAAATGAATTAGAATTTGCAAAGGGCTTGGAACAATGCCTAGCATAAAGTGCATATAACCTGTGAAAAATCTAAGTTCTTTTTAGTGAGCAGTACCATGAGATTTTGTTGGAGTGGCCTTCTGATACGACAAAACCTTCTCCAATATGCCCGCCACAACACATATGCTAGGTGACCTATGACCTAGCCACATACCCATTTTGTCTATAAAACAGATATCTAACCACACATCTAGTGTAAGAGTACTTCATATGAGGAATTCCTGATGTCAAGGAAGAACTCAGCATGCGTTAGCTTCAGGTAAGCAAATTTCATACCTGTATATCGCGATAGGACAGCAGTAAACTGATGATGATGTCTGAGGTCAGAACTTCGATATCATCCACGCGGAGTCTGATCCGAGCCAGTTCCTTTGCCAACTCATCACCGTGGTATTTCTCTCTAGCTCTCCAGATGTCATTTAACAAGGTTTCTTTGTAAGAAGCACTAGAGAGGGAAACATGAAAACCTCTGGTTACATCTCCAAGCATCCATGACTCTGTTCCTTTAGCGGCTCAAATGAACTTGGTTCTCATTGACATGACTTAGCTAACGCAGGGGGGGCTTCACCCAGACTTGAGCCTCCCTGTACCAGCAAACGGAAGACGTGTCCTACTTGTTAGTCACATTTTGCAGAAAATAACCACTGAATAGTAACATCATTTCATTAATACCTTGAAAGTATTTTCAAACTTGACCCACCTGTATTTGGATGACAAACAGGACTTTCTACCCATCCCACCCACACCACTTCCTCTGGTATTTTTCAAACACATAGAGGACAAGAAGGTATCTTACTTGAATAGTTATTTCCCCCACTATGAACAGATTATCACAAAGCCAAAAAAACAAACAAACAAAAAAACCAACCAACCAACCAACCAAAAAACTCCAAGAGCCATGAAACAGTAAAAAGAGAATTTTAAAATGAATCTATCAGATGTCCCCAGCTAGTAATCACTAAGCTTTTTGCAGTTGGTTGAGAGCTGGAAACTGGACGTGTCCATGAGCAATCCAAGAAGCCATGCCTGGAAGCTTATAGCCACCCTTGTCCTTCACTGCCTCCTTGTCATTTTCAATTGCCAGAATGCTTTTCTAATGTAAAACATAAAACTTCCTTCATGTGGGCAACTAGATGATAATAGGAATGTATGAAAACTTTTAAAGCAATTTAAATTCACACTGGAATGTCTCACCATAGCCTCTCAAATAATCAGTGCTAGGATCTGGTACTGGGTTTAAAATCTTCAAAAATGACCTAATTTGCTGTACAGGGGCTGACTTGCAATGACCACAGATTGGGCACTTTCCAAGTAATTTTTTTATGGCAACTGGGCACTGCCAAGCAGTAATACTGTCAACCCATTAAGTAGGTGAAATGAGTGGACTGTAGAGAGTAAAATTAGGCTGTTTATTTAAAAAGATAAGCTCAATTAAATAACAGTCTACAGAAACAGAAGCATTGCTTTTTTTTTCCTTATTCTATTGCAAATCATCCCAATGATGAGCAAATCAATGGATTCTACCAGTGTTTAAAATTCTATCATTAATCTAATGAGTCATTAAGTTGGGTGACAGCCATTGTCTATTTGGTGGACGATAAAGGCGTCGAAGCTATTAAGGTGTTATTAATTTAGCTTGACAAGTAAAAGTTATATTTAAGTCTTGTTTTCAAGGGTAATTCTGAAAAATGGTTTTAATAAACTAAGAAACCTAATAAGAACAGTAACTTTTAAGTAAATAAACAAAACACTGAATTAAGTATGGCTTGGGGACATCATGTATGTAATAAATGTGCAGCTATTTCTGCCTCTGGGAACCAGGGAAGATGTTGCTAATCAATGTGAACTTGGAAATGGCTTCCAATCCCTTTTCAGCTCAAGGCTCCAGGCAGCCTTTATCAATGTATCAGAGTTGGCACTTGAGCTAAAAACTTATCTGCCATCCTCATTATAGATGTTTTAAACTATAAGTACCATTTACCTTCTCACTAACCACTGTTATGTATCTGTCAGTTCAAGGGGTGGAATCAACTAATAGGTATTTCAAGTCCTTTGAAATAAAATAAAATAAAAAGAGTTGTTTTCCTAATAAAAAATATACACACTGAATGAGAAACAAATTTGAGTCCACTTCTTGCGAAGACCTTGCTCATCTGGCAGACTCAAGGTAACCTACTTCCTTGACAGACATGAGAAGATGATATTAGAAGAGCTTTCTCTCTAAACTTCACTAAAATATTCATTGTGCAATAAGACAATAGTTAGCAAGGTGTGAATGAATGAAGCTTTCCAGGAATGTCCCACAAAAAGTTCCCCAACTGCTTTCTATGTTGGCATGTGGTCACATATGTCTAGGTTTCCAGTATTCTTTTCCCATAAAGCCTATAGAAGAAACTCTGTATCTAGAGAAAAGGTGATGGAATAGAAAAACAGGGCAGACTGTTAACAAGTGTGTACCTCACACCAATACTACAGTAGCAATGCTCAACAGCTCAGGGAACCATGATTTGAGTCAAAGTGGGACACGCGGTCCTTTGCACTTCATTTTAAGTCGGCTTGCCAGCTTCGGATTTTCATTTGTTATGGAAGGACCAATCCTCCCCCTTGTGACATTACTGACAGGAGTAAATCCTTTAAATTGGCTGTAAGCAAAATGATCTTTTGGTTAAATAAAATAATTTTTCTGCCCTCAAGTTTCAGAATAAGAACATTTTAAGGCATGGTTTCTTGAGCACCGAGGTACAAAGAAATGAGCTGACTTTTACAAGGCTACACAGCGAGGAATCTCCTGAGCCAGGATTCAAACTCAAACCTGCCTACCTCTGAATCAGTATTCCCCGCCTTCTCTAACATCTATCTACAAAGAACATGTCACAGGATGGCTTAAGCTGGACTCAATGCATCCTGGCTTTTATAGCAGAAGAACCTGTGATCAGAATAACCTTACTGAGGCACACAACCTCAACAAATGATTGGAGAGGGGAATGGAAATCATCCTCATAAATGATCTTAAAACAGAATCTCAGAGTTGAAAGAGCATTAAAAAAATCAGTGACTTAACTTCCTTATTTTCTAGATGAGAAAATGGCTACAGAGAAGGTATTTATCAAAGTTACACATGGAGTTGGGGCCAGACACAGGCTCACCCCTGACTTCCTAACTCCAGTTCTATTCTTTTGGCTACACTACAATGGTCCAATTTAGTGAGGTAGTAAGGAACAACAAAGGATTCCAGGATGACTTAAAACTGATTGGCGGGAAGATCCCCATTCTCTGGGTATTATGGTCTTTTGAGGGTGTATTGCCTCCATGAATGTGAAAGGAAGACTGTGGCAGGGCTCCCAGGGTTGTTGACAGCTGAGGAGAATTACCATGAGGTCACGTGGATATCCTTCAGGAGGCTAATAAACCTGTCCACCAGGGGCACACACAGCGGACCCAGGGCGGCATCTGAGTTGGGCTGTATGTACTCTGAGGCATGCCTCTGGGTGTCACTCTCGCAGCAAAAATAATCAGCGCTAGTTGTCATGACGTACGGGATGAAGTAATAATTTCCACTAGATGCCTGGAAAAAAGAAACAAAAAGGTTTCACAAAGTAATTGATACAGAAGCATAGCTATGGATTTGAGCCGGTAGAACTTGGTGGGACGGGGACGGAGCAAATGTCCGAGTATGACAACAACTTGTGAAATATGACTATGAATCTATTAGGCACAAAACAAGAAAGCACTCAATTTCACAAGCTCTAATACACAGATGTATGGCAAACATTTGGTCTTAAATGCTAAACTGATCTGTGTATGTCTGTGAACTCTGGTAGAGATTTCAGAGATTCAAGTCTCAAAAATTATATCATTTTATTACATGCCCCCAAATAGAGGGAATTTGAACCACTGATAACCAAGAATTGCAATTGTAAAGTCATATTTTTCTTTCTTTCAACATCAATGGAAAGGCCATATTATTTGATAATTTAATCACAGGTAAACTATTATAAACTTTGTAGAGTAAAAACTGTTTTTGCATGAAGCAGATATTAATAAGAATGATTATTCTCAGAGATTTTTTTTAAAAAGATGTTTTTAAATTTTTATATTGTCAAGTAATACTCAGGTAAAACAATATCTTTTTTTCTATGGAATAATTACAACTTGAATACAAACTGATCCTTTGTAAAGCATAAACACTACCTTTAAAGAGTATTAAGTCAATGCTTGATTTTTAACACACTGGAGGATTAAAATACATTCTTATATGACATTCTTACATCATAATCAATCTTTTGTCTACACTGCCATAAAAAAAAAAAAAACAACTGGCAACCTCTAGACTGTTTTCCATTGTGGCTGTACCAATTCTCAGAAAATTAAACATGGATATACCTTTTTACCCAGCAATTGCTCTCCTGGGTATTTATCCAAAGAAAACCAAAACAATAATTCGTAAAGATCTATGCACTCCCATGTTCATGGCAGCACAATTTACAATAATAACCAAGATATGGAAACAACCTAAATGCCCATCAACAGATGGTTGGATAAGGAAGTTATGGTTCATATATACAATGGAATATTATTCAGCCATTAAAAAATGAAATACTACTATTTGCAACAACATGGATGGACCTAGAGGTTATTATGCTGAGTGAAATAAGTCCTACAAAGATAAATACCATATGATTTCACTTACATGTGAATCTAAGGAACAAAAAGAACAAACTAATCAAAAACAGAGTCATAAATATAGAGGACAATCTGGTGACCACCAGAGAGGAGCGGGGTTGGGAGGATGGGAGAATGGGATGAAAGGTTAAAGAAGTAAAAATTAGCAGTTGATAGATGGTCACGGGGATGGGGAGCACGGCATAGGGAATGTAGTCAGTAGTAATGTAACGACTAGGTGAAGAGCCAGAGGAGAGAAAGGGCAATTAGGGGGATCTTTTTATAAACTATATAAACATCTAACCAATGTACTGTATATTTAAAACTAATAATAAAACTTTTTTAAAGTAACTAGCTTAAAATTTCAGACTTTTTAACTACTATCTCTTCACTGTTTTAAAGAATTTATATGGTGTCAGAAATAATTCATCTGACTTCTTCCCTTTAATTTTTTAAACTACACTAATTAAGTTGTCTAGGTATTTGGCATAATGCAGACTTATCTTGGGAAACACTTTCTCCAAGAAAGAAGTCAAAAAAGAGATACAGCTTCTTCTACATCAAAAATAAATTCATTAATTACAGAGAAAACTATCAGAACATCATGACCTCATATCAAACAGAAGCCTTGGGAAAACTTACAACATTGGGGAACTAGTTACAAAAACATATGTGACATGCATTTTTAAGTTTTCCTTTTGAATAAGATTCACTTACACAAAGACAGGTGGCATTCTCATTTCTATCTGAACTCAAAGTATAAATAATTGTCCTGAAACTCTCTTTTGTACCTTGCTGGGCATGTATAACTCTGTTGAGACATGTTTTTAGGCCCTACTTTCTGTAAAAGTTCAAATGGTAAACATTTTTGGTTTTGTAGGCCATACAGTCTGTTCCAACTACTCAACTCTGCCACTGTATCATGAAAGAAAGCAGCCATAGACAACATAAACACATGAGCATGTCTCTGTCCCAGTAAAACTTCATTTATGGACACAAATCTGAATTTCATATTTTCACATGTCCTGAAGTATTCTTCATCTTCTCTTTCTTTCCAATCATTTAAAAATGCAAAAATCATTCTTAGCTCACGGGTCATACAAAAGCAGGTGGGGGGGCATCCTTTGTCTTACACTAAACTTCCCGATGGTCCATTATTCCTGAAAATAGGACTTTCTGAGAATACTTACTCCACCGCAAAATAGCAGCTGAAGAATATCCCTGTAGGCAACAGGGCTAAACCCAGCAAAATACAAATGCCAATGTGTTATAAATAGAAGTGGCAAAAATTCAAGTGTGTGAATAATTGGGGAACAGGGAGAAGAAGACTCACAGCTACTTGTTAGCAATCATTGGGAATTGTCTATACCAGAGGAACAAAGACTCTTCCCTCCCTGGTTATATAATTCAAATTCTTAAAGACAAATTCAAATTGCCCAGCAAAGTAAGGATTTGGGTGCATTAGAGACAACTTTCTCCCTATCTATAACAAGAAAGCCATGTTGCTGAATTAAATGCCATTTATACACTCAGAAGTGAAACCATTTGTTCTTCTATCTGAAATTGATTGAGTTTATGGTAAAAAGCCTTCCTACTTCAGACTAAGAGAAAGAAAAGGGCTGTGTGGATCAGTGAAGTCTATAAGGTAAAACTTCATTTCTTTGAAGAAATGGAGTTTGCTATTTTCAAAAAATTAGAGGCAGACTGGAGATGTGAGGAGCTCCTCAGATCCTTTCCCCAGAAAAACCATAACAGGCAAAAATCTTTTTAAAAAATATTTTAAAAAACTAAAGTCACTATAAATTATCTTAAGAGCATATAGCAAATAGAGAAATGTTTATTCAAGAAAACTGAGTAAATCTTAGTAAGAACAGTGAGACTAGCATTTGAGATATAACCTGCTCCTCCCCTCCCTCCCCCTCCAGCCTAGAGTGATGAAAATTTTTCTCTGTGTAGATACAGCCAAGTACATGGGGCTCCCTCTCACCCTTAATCTCCAGTCTAGGGTGACAATTTCTCTCTGAGAATCCCAGGCCACCAGCATTTTCACTCACTACAGCCCTGTGTTACAGAAGTGCTATTTCAGGCAAATGTGGTCAAGAGTACCAGGGCTCCATTTCTCCATCCAGTTCCCACTCGTAGAGCAGAAGCGCTACCCTAGGTGACGCAGAGCCCAGTATCCCACACCTGCACGTGGTGATTGAGAATTGGGAAGAATATCTTGGCTGTGGAGGTCCAGAGGTTCCCCCAGAGGAGTGAGGAGTCCCGGCCCCATACTGAGATCAATCCCCCAGCCCAGAGTTCCAGTGCCAGGAAAAGAAGTCCTCATAACTTCTCCAAAACAGCAAAGATTGTGGCCGAGTGAGATGAAGGGGGGCTGGAGTCACAAATACTCCTCTTAAGGGACCCGTGTGTGAACTTGCTCACTGATGGACTCACTCATTCTGAGCTCCAGAACTGGGTTAGCTGCTCAAAAGGCACTAGGGACATACAGGGAGAAACTGCTTCAGGGTGAGGGCTGGAGAAGCAGTTTTCTCCCAGACAGAAGTGCTAGCAGAGGCCTTTGTTCCTTTGTTGAGCCCTCTCTGCTTCCAGCCTGCAGACTTGGGCGGCCACTATATGAATCTCCACATAATACTGGTTTCCCTGCCCAAGTGATTCCCTGAGACACCATCCCTCCCAAACTGGGCCCACTCAGGCCATCTCCAGTGGCTTTTCCATACAAATGGCCTGTCTTGACTCATGCTTCAGGCTTTACTAAAATCTAAGGTTTTCAAACCTAAACAAGCAGCATCTGGTCTCAGTGTGCTCCATACCTCTTGTAGAGCAGCATCAAACTTGGCACTAGTGGCAGCTGGCCTTGGTTAGTGGTTTGCCTCTTGAGGTACACCCAAGTCCAGCATGGGTGGTAGCCATCTGCAGATTGCTTGGTGGCTCATGACAGGTGGCCCCGGGCATGATACAGGCTGCAGCTAAACATGGCCTGAGTGGAGGCCCTTCCAGGAGGCACCACCTACCTGCATGCCCAGTGGCCGGCTTCAGTATGAGCCAAAGCACTACCCAAGGTCACATCCAAGGATGACACATCCAAAGGGCTGACTGAGAAGGCACCAGAGCCCTGCTAAAGTGAATCCTGCTCTGTGGGATCAACCCCTGCACAATGGCTCCTCCACTGTAGTCACCGGCCAGTCATCACAATTGATCAGCCTGAGGATGAATCCTTCTCATTGACATGCAAACAGCAACCAAGGCTCAACTACAACAGAACGCACACAACCCATGAAAAGGAACACACCTGGAACATCCAGTGCAGGTGACCAGACTGTGCCACTGGACCACATAGGACACCTATTACATAAGGCCTCTCTACTAAGACCAAGAGACCTAGTAGCTCTACCTAATACCTAGAAACAAATACAGAGAGGCAGCCAAAATGTGGAGACAAAGAAACATGCCCCAATTGAAAGAACAGACCAAAGCTCCAGAAAAAAAATGAAACAAAATGGAGACAAACAATCTACCAGATGCAGAGTTCAAAACACTGAACTTAGGGGAAAATTAGATGAACTCAGTGAGAACTTTAACAAAGAGATAAAAACAAAAACATAAAAACAGAGATGGAAAAAAATAAAAGGAACCAGTCAGAAATGAAGAATACAATATCTGAGATGAAGAATACATTAGAAGGAATTAACAGATCAGATGGAGAAGATCAAATCAGCAATTTAGAAGATAAAGTAGCAGAAAATACTCAATGAGAACAGCAACAAGATAAAAGAATCCAAAAAAATGAGGATAGTTTAAGGCAGAGTCCCAAACCCCTGGGCTGCGAATAGGTATCGGTCCGCAGCCTGTTAGGAACTGGGCCACACAGCAAGAGGTGAGTGGCGGGCGAGCGAAAGA